ATAGACCTTGTGTCCCTTCGCAGTCTCCGGGAGTTATCGATGCTCACTGGCACATTCCGGCTGGAAGCGAAGGCAACGAGACTCGCAAAAGATATCAGGGCAAAACTCCGTGCTAGACTGAAGAGGGACCGCGAATCCTGGTGGTCTCTTCGTGCGTCAGAGATGGAAGTGGCCGCTGCGCTTGCTAACCATGGGAAGTTATTCCGTCTGATAAGGGAAAGGGGTAGCAGGGGAATTTGTGTTGGTTGGCCTATATATGATGAGAATGGCTGCCTATCCACAATTTGTCGAAACGTTTGGAGCGTTGGGCTGAGCATTTTGAAAAGCAATTTAATTGGACTGAATGCTTTGAATCATCTCCGGTCAGTAATCGCCCTGTTCCGTAGCCGGTCCATCCGGATACGCCTCTCACTCACAAGTCAAACGTGAGATCGGACTGTTGGAGTTTAACAAAGCCGCGGGCCCAGACGGTCTTCCTCCAGCCCTCTTCAAATTCGGGCCCTGCTCTTGTTGATGATTTACACGAATTACTAGTGAATCTGTGGCAGCAGGAAACTTTCGCAACCGACTGGAGCCGCTCCGTTATTGCCCCAATCTTCAAAGGAGGCTGGCATTCGGACTGCGGCAATCATAGAAGAATAAGTCCGATCTCCACCGCCTCCAAATTACTTGCCTCGGTAATCAGTTACAGACTGACTGACACTCGGGGAAACCAGACTCGTTAAGAGCAGGCAGGGTTTCGTCGAGATCGTGGCTTCATCGACCACATATGCACATTACGTCAGTTGTTAGAGCACGGTCACATATACTGGCGTCCCACCGTAGTCCTGTTCCGCGACATCAAAGGTGCCTCTGATTACGGTGGATCGACGTGTCCTTCTGGCCAGTCTGCTAAGGAAACGTGTGCTCTAGAAGTAACTAAATATTATGCGAGCGTTATGCGAGCATAGCTCGGGCAGAGTAAGGGCTTACGGCAAAACAGTCACCGCCCTTCGATATTTCCAGCTATATGAGACAAGGATGCTTGCTGTCACTCATCCTCCTTAACTTCGCCACTGACAAACACATGGAGATCGCGTTCACATGACACCACTTAAAGGGTGGGAAGTTGCTCCTTGGTGAAGGACTTCTTAACTTGGAGTATGCTGACGATATTTCCGTCATCTATGACGGCTTCAACGTGCCATGCGGCACTGGACAGATTAGCACTTGCTGTCAGCAGTTTTTGGCTATGGTTTGCACCCGCGAAGTGAAAATCTCTCCACCAAGACTGGCAGGGCCTGCCTTCTGCGCTCACCCTTAGTGCGGAACAGTTAGAAGTCGCCCAAGGTTCTACTACCTAGGTAGTTCTATAAGCGCCGTTAAGTTTGAAGACGAGATCACAAACCGAATAGCAAAAGCTTGAGGCGTTTTTGCGACATTACTCTTTCCTTGAAGGGCAGAGTATATAATGCAGTCATACGTTCGACCCAATTGTACGGTCGTGAAACCTACCCCTACACCGACATAAAGGGGTCAGTTACGTTCGAGCACCGGTGACTTCGCAGTTTGGCTCATATCTGGTGGGAACACCGTGTGGGCAATGAACAATTTCGACGCCTCATGTATGGCGCAAGAAGAAAAGAACTGCTCAACACCATTATTTCACGCACCAAGCCCCGACGGTTCGGCCACATGTCATGCAAGCCAACCCAATGACTCCCGCGACGTGCGTCGTTTATCCTCCGCGGGTGCGGATGGATGGCCAGGTGATGACAAGAGGAATGAGGACCCTTACTTTGAAGATGCCCCCAGTAGAAGCCTCTCGGCTCCCTGGTTGGAGATCAAAGGACGATGAACATGTTTGGCTGGATACACTTGTCGACATGACTAGGAGCCGACCTCAGTGACGTTTGTGTTATGGGTTTCTTTGTCCCTTCTCCTAGCGCTTAACCTCTTCCTCCAACCACGATCTCATTTGTTAAGCATACTGGCTGGCTATTAGCTCTCCGGAACGATGTCCGTCCGTTAGAGATGACTAAACCGGCGAGCCTTCGTTGCCCCAGTTTCTTTCGTTTTGTATTGCGGCAAACTGGCGGACGTTTTTTTACACCTACACCTAACGTGTATCACGATGAGGATGATTTCAAGTAATCCGTTTCCATCGAAAGACGAATTAACCCAACGAGCGTACTCACCAGCCCTATTAGTTACGTAGTGGTGAGCAGACCAGCAAGTGTGTTCAAGTGACTAACCCGCTGAGTCATCTCAAACCAGAACTTTACCTTTGTCCTGTTCCTATAAACAAGCAGTTTATAATCCCCACTCCTGTTTATCCTACGGGACTTGTCTAGCAACGATTTTCTGCCCATGAATCATTCTTCATAATTCTTGGAATCAATGTGTTCCAGGTCACCGAAACAAGTTGATAGGCGAGCCAAGTCGCAACGAGTGTTCGACTGCCTGGTTCCGAATCGGACCACAATGACTCTAGTAATTGCGCATCTGACGACACCAGATAGAAGTTTAGATGCGTAGGTGGCGTTTGTATTGATCCCTTACGACATGACGGAATCAATATAGTCTACTGCTAGGCAATCACTTGTACGCTCTCAGACTTCGGACATCTATTAAGATGCATAATCTCCGTCTGGAGACCAAGTGTCACTTTACCGTTGTGATGTATGCTCCAGTCGACGGCAGATCGAAAGTAAGCAATGACGATTTCTGTCCGTGACGCTAATCAATTATCTGTATTTCGCAAGAAATACGGACGCTGTTACCGTTGATGGTGACAAAATTACTCTTCCAGACAACAAACAATGGATTGGACATCTTTTCTGATTCGGTGTTGGGTCAGCATAGTTATGAAAGCAAGTACCGACCACAAAGTTGTACATCAGTAGAACTACTCGTATCGGCATAAAAGCTGCTACCGTGTCAACCGAACCGAAGTGGCTATGTTGTCATCAGTTACACCCTGTGAATATCAGTTCAAGACTCAGTCACATTGTATTCATGTATGGATTCAGAGTAAGTGACAGTGGTCGGGAGGTCGTGTTAGAAGGTTAAGTTCGACGGCTGTGAATAAAAAGTGCATGTGCAGCTCCTGTGATTAACCACGTCGTCAGTAGGGTTCCACCCGTCTTCCGCGCAAAAGTTCGAAGAAAATATCAGACGAAAATTCCTTATATATAAGAGTTAAATACGCATATCGGGAAACAAACGGAAATGCTACTTATGACACGGATAAATGTGCGTATAACTAAGAGAACAAGTGCTCCCTCGCAATAGATGCAAAATGATTTGAACGGCTGCCAACAACAAAGATGTGTATGGATATGGCTGCATAAAAATGCTAAAGGATATGTGGAAATTGAGTGTTACTTGCCCGACAACACTGCGCTACCAGGACACGATTCGATCTGATTGGATCGCATCAGGTGGAAATGGCAGACCTCGAAGCCGCGACCAATGGAATATTGCCCGAAATCACTACCGCTTTTGCTACCGGGTCATGACGGGCGACGTTTGACACAACGATTAATGACTGATTGGAGGGCCATGTTGAACTGCACGCTGTGTGATTGGATTGCGACGCGCAATATCAACGTGGACCGCGATTCACATTACAGTGGACCTTGGTCAATGCGATCACTGGGACCGTAGCCGAAGCATTTGGAAATTGGGTGTTAACTGCCCGATAACACTGCACAACTACCATTTGCTTCGGCTACGGTCCTTGTGATCGCACTGGCCAAGGTTCATGTAGTGTTTTCGGGTGCGCAACACCCAATTTCCATCTGACCAGGGTTCACTTCAAGGTGAATCGCGATCTACCTTGAGATGGAGCATCGCAATCCAATCACAATGGCTCTCTACTGAAAAGGATATGCTTTCCGTTCCGATGGCTAACCATTAAAATTACAACCGAAAACGCAATTTATTCCTTATGTACGACAATCTTGAAATCGTCTAGTCAGTCAAACTGTTTGGGGTTCTTAACAACTCGATAGAAAATTAGGGCAAAAGATTACACTCTACATTCTTAGATGTAGTCGATTGCTCTCACAACGAAAGTTTTATTAGAATTAGTGCCGTACCTGTCATTCAGCTAACAGACTGATGAATGTTACCTTAATCATCCGAAATTGTGCTTATTCATAGAGCTCAAACCACCATAAACCTACACAGACTCAGTCCACGTTAATAATCGATGTAGCTAGTGAACAGTTGAATTAGCACGATTGATTAGTCTGCGGTGAGCGTTCGAAGAAAGAAGCTAATCCATCACAGACGGTCACCAACAGGCGGTGATTCTGGTGCAATAACTGGCTGTTCCAAACCGCAGAACCGGATGTGGAAAATTCAAAAACAGCAACAGATCGCATATGCCATTGTGTGCAAAGATGACTTGTCTACTCATTCAAGGGGTTCTTCTCTACTAACTTTACGGAAGTGGCGATTCTTCGCATACTGCGATGTACTTGATCCGTCTACAGTGGTTAGTGGTCTCCGGGTTGCACATGTGGGACACTGTTCTTGACTACTACTGGAAACTGAGAACTTGCACTCTAATTCAGTAAATAACATATAGTGAATTTTCGCTGAATTTCTGACAAGTAAGTCACCGTGCAACAATACTTGGGTCAGCGCCGAGTAGCAGCTATACCTGTAACGACGAGTGCAGCGACGTCTCGGACGTTAATGCTGCGTTTCCCATCAATCGTGCCCTTCATACTGTTGTTTACTTAATTCTCCCCTTTAGGTAAAGTTAACTAACAAATGCAAGTATTTGCTGGAAAAATGAACTTACTCGTTGGTTGCTTAACCGCCATGAACGTAATGGTAATAGATTTGACGAACGTGTCAATAGTTAACTAGCGGGAACGATAGAGAGTTTATTAACTACGTCCCACTAGAGTTATTGCCCAAGAGATTCCGGTGGAAATAAGCGGTTGTATCGAATCGTTGTAACTCATACTAATGTTTTACCGTGTATGACCTGGTTTAGTGGGTTGTTATGGATTGAAGAACGCTCTTTTGGCTAGAGCTAATTGGGGTCTGAAAGAACAAACAAATTTTGCAAGTGCTATTTCAAACCGTTGTCTGAATTCAAATTCAGCTACTTCAAGACGTACATCTAAAACAAGGCCCAATGTCTTGCCGTCTACCACTAGGCCGATTGGTTCTCCTCCCCCACCCGCCCTCCGGCGACCTTTACTTCTAAAAACACGGCCTCTGGTTTTCCTTGACTCCCAGCTTATGAAGGTCTGCAGCCGGGAACGCAGGCGCTTCAGGCGATCTCTGAGGAGAATTTCGTCACGTTTGGTGGACAGTTCGCTCTCCGCGGCTGTTAGATATGCTTCAGTCAGCTCTTCGTGACTGGCCAACAGACTGGTTCGTTTCTCCATTCCGTGCGGCCCTCGCGTGCGTAGATCTAGTCGTGCCTGAATACCTTCCAACTGTTCAAAGACCCAGCATGCTGCGGTTGCATAGTCTGGGCAATGCGTCATGCGAATAAGACCCATTTGTGGAGTGAAATGACCAGCTGATTGACTCACAGTGACCGCAGTCTCCTCTTTATCCCCGGTGAGTATCCAAACCTGGAACAGACGAACAGACATAAGGAAAAGATGTTTTGTTTGGGAAAGTGTATGAAAGGCAAACTACTGAGCAGTTGTCCATAACACGAAGAGATTTCACAACTGAGAAACATATGCTGAGTAGCAGCCCAGCTTGAGTACTACATTGGGTGCATGGTAGCTTCTGAAGATGCGCAAATTAAAATCTTGTGAACGGGAGCTAGTGATTTTAGCAATAAAGGGAAATGGACCACAGAAACTCTTGTCTGCATGCACGAGAGTGGTGAAAATCGACGTTACCAAACTATTGTTTGGGGTTGGCAACTTATTCCGAGATTCATTTTATGGTGCTGTTGATGTGGACTACGGTGTTCCATAAGGATCAGTGTTAAGTCCGCGCTTACTCTTGCTCTTCATTCATGACTTCGTACTTGTTATCGAGTAAACTTTCCTGCTTCTTGCCGATGACATCTAGATATAGCGGACGATCGGCTGTTAGAAAGATCACGACCTGCTTCAACGGGATTTAGATGGGACTTATGAATGGTCAGTGGTAAACCTACTTCCGTTCCATGCGGGCAAGTGCAAAACTGTGCATGTACGTCAAAAGCCCACTTATGCAATAAACTTGAAGACGAAGTTGAAATCCGTCTCAAGAGAGCGAGACCTTGTGTTGATGATGCAAGACGACCTTGGCTGTTGATATCATAAGGAGTGCCTTCAGGCGGTTCGACCCTTCACTTTCTTCCAAATGCTCAGTGCATATTGTAGACCCTGTGTAGAGTACGCGATTCAAGAATGGCAACCGTGGTTAAATCGCGATCTGATTGCACTAGAGACCGCACGGCGAAAGGCACCCAAAAAGTTAGGGGAGTTGTACCACGTGCCATACCATAGGCGACTGAAAACGTTAAGGGTTTACAGCGGAAATTTTTGCCGTCTACGTGACGACCACTGTCTGGCGTGTCAGAGCTTGGAAACCCTGGACACGCTTGCCGCAACCTCCTGAAACTTAGACGCTACAAAAAACTGACGGTTTAGTAGCTGAAACTAGCCACCCAGTACAGTCGGCTGAAACGCCGCCAGAACTACTTTTCTCTACAATTTTGTTAGCCGTGGAATGCTCTTTCGACCTCAGTCATTTCGTCATGTAAGTGATTCGTTTAAAAAAGCGATTTGACGATGCATTAGGCCACCCGCGTTACTTGAATCGAGTTCTGTTTATAGCGTGACAACAAGACGCAGACGAACATTGTGCTCATCGACGCCACGAAATCGGGTAAACGAACATACCTGTGTGCTGACTTGGATAATGGGATGAGACAACAGATAAGCGTTTCACTTAAGTGTAATTTCTATTCACACAAACCATTCCACGGGATTGGTCAAGCCTTTACTTTTTGTAGAGAGTAGAAGCCACGATTAAACTTTGCACAATAATCTGCCTCGACGGGGAATCAAACCCCGGACATACGGATTATCGGTCAACTGCTCTACCAACTAAGCTACCGAGGACTGACGATGAGGTGCGCAATTTAATACATGACTTCCGCTTGGTTCGCGACGTATTGCCAATAAGCTCACAATATCTGTCCTGGTGTTGCAGCTTGGCTCACTCACTCGTCACTTCCCAATGAACCGAAGTATCTGTCCTTCAGATGTTCAAAGGGCGATGGTAAACTTAGATTAATGGTGAGTTTGGGAGTAGCGTAATATTGTAGAAAGTAGAAGCCACCGTTAATCTTTGCACCATAGTCTGCCTAGACGGGGAATCTAACCCCGGACATACGGATTATCGGTCCGCTGCTCTACCAACTGAGCTACGGAGAACTGACGATCAGGTGCGCAATTTAATACATGGCTTCTGCTTGGTTCGCGACGTATTGCCAATAAGCTCACAGTCTCTGCCTGATGTTGCAGATTGGCTCACTCAATCGTCACTTCCCTTTAGTTTTTATAAGCATCATCCCATTGTTCAATTGCTATCAAACCCCAAAGAAATAGGGATTGATCAAGGAAAAACTATGGACGTATTGCTCATCGGATTCTCCAAAGCTTTTGACACTGTTCTGCAGTCTCGCCTTTTGTCCAAGTTTCAGACTTTGGTATCTCAGGGCCAGTCTTAAAATGAATTTCGGCTTTTTTCACCGGAAGGGAGATGTGTGTTCGTGTGGACTCCAGCCCACCTTCAAATCAGTGTGTTCACAGCGATATCCAGCAAGGGTCGGTAATTGGCCCTCTGCTGTTCACCTAGATCGTTAATGAATTACTCGAAAAGCTGCGAGTGCCGTTTCTAATTTTCGTGGACAGCTTAAAGTTCTGGTCCACATTAAATGATCTTGGTGGTCTACAGACGCTAGAAAGGCTCTAGTTAGACTATGGAATTAGTCCGTTTTGTGGTAGTTGCATGTTAATCTCGCGAAAGGCTCAGTTTTGCGAGTAGGATCAAATGATCCACCGACGCACTATTTACTCGGGGATAATGAAGTTCCGCGGACGTCACTCTAACCTGACCTAAGCCGCTTGCTATCGTCTGATTTTAAGTCCAGGGAACATTGGATGACAGCTGCTCTCAAATATTTTAGCATGTTGTGAAAAATCGGCAGATCATTCGGGATCATGACAACCAAAATGTTCGCAAGATTACTTGCAGCCTTGTTAGGTCACACTTAGAATACTGAGTACAGGCTTGTCTACCCTGCCTAGTCCGGGACAAAATGGCAGGTGAACGAGTTTTAAGATCGGGGACGAAAATTGTGTTTCAATTAATGAAGCTGTCGTACCCTGAGAGGTTAATCAAGTTGGACATGTTTTAGATGCACTACAGGCGATTTCGCGATGACCTGGTCCTCACCTATCGCATAATAACAGGTCAGTTCGCTCCGGATTTATCTGGACTGTTCCATCCCACATGGATGCCAAATCTTCGTAGCCATCAACCGTTCGGACCGGGTTGGGACTGATTCGCGGTTATCACTCCGGGTTACAGACTCATGGAATTCGCTGCCCGCTGAAGTAGTGATGGGGGCAACGGTGAAAGAGTTTGTGCATCGACTCGACGACCCTTGTTTGCAGTTAAAAATCTTCCCCTTCTCAGCTTAGCTTTGCTCTTATCTGTTGATGCTTACTTCAATTTAATTTTCCAGTTGACTTCCAAAATTGTTTATGCATTGCTGCAGTTTGCCTTGTTTTTGTTCCTCTTCCACTATTACTTCAATTCGCGTGGCCGGCACGGCGGGGACTGCTAGTGCAAGGCACATGGGTATCGTTTGATTCAACTAGATTGTATGTGTTGATTTGGCTCCTCCTTGCAGATCGCTCCACAGATTTCACGTCAGGATCAACAATACTTTACAAGGTGGAACAACCACGGGATTCTCCTACCGTTCCGGTCCTACATGAACTTAAACGAAGGTAATGAAATGGAACTGAGCAGGGCATCATCCACAATTTTTCCAATCTGTGACGCATTTTGCACAAAAGTCTTGACGCATGCTTGTCTCAGCATGATGTGTAAGAAAAGAACATCCACATAGTTTAAACGACAGTTTTTACAAGTCAAAGGTAAAACCTGTAGGTGACAGTTATAAATACGGTGTGATTTTAATGCCAAGAATAGCACGTGACAAAGTACTATGGATCGGTGCAATACCTGAATTCCAGCCTCCCGTAGTCCATTGAGACATTTCTTTACCCCGGGGTACAAGACATCTTCAATTCCAGCTACATACATCGGCTGTAATTCTGTCTCTATTTTCGCGTACACATCATTCAAGGCTTTCTGCCGGTTCACGCCAAGCATTCCACTTGTTGCACGAAATTCTCTCAGCAACTTTTGGTACTCAACTTTTGAGAGTTGACGGCTAGAAAAGACTAGAGTACGATAACCCTCCCGAGCGATTTCGTTTGCGCGCTGCATCACCAAATTGTACAAACCATTATGACATTTTGTACAGACCTGAAAGAGGAAGGGAAGCGAGAATATTCACTTTATGTCGCTTTACCATATGAATTTATGTAAGTCAAATATGACGCAATCCGTTGACAGAGTCGAAACAAGAATGTCTATGTTCTGAGAATATCGCACAAAAGCATCACATACATACCTGATGTTGGAACGCTTACTGTGAACATATGTCAAGGATTTCTCCATCAGGAGTATGTGCAAACTGACGCAGACGAGATCTGCGTTGCCAGCATCTGTAGTGACTGTGTTGGAAGCGGAATTGTAAATGATGACCTCAGCAATTGAAGTAAAGGCAACTATTTGCGGAGATGGTGAGTTGCAGGTCAAGGAGCTGCAACTTCAGACTTAATGGACTGAGTTGAATAGGAGTATTACAAGGGAAGCCCCAAAGTCGCATGGCACACCAAAAGTATTTGGCTAGTTATAGAGGTGTACACCATAATCAAATTGCATCCAAGCTAGGAGGTGCGTTTTGCGATACAGAAAAGTTTGAGCCACTAGGCTCTGAGTTCCAGCCCAACTCAGGCTATCTCCAACTGATGAGTCCCAACCAGGACGAAACCGCGGTCTTGGAGTGCCAGTGTTGGGGTAAGCAGCACTATAATGTTTCCATGCTGGCGTCTTAGTAACAGGCAGCTGCTGACAGATGATGCTGAGGCGATGACCAGAACAACTCCAAAAATACAGTGATGGAATAACATGTATGCAAGTACACAACACGAGCGTGCAATAAACGCTGGTGAGTATATTTGAGTAATGTATTCGGATACAATCGTATCCTTACATTCTCGGTCCTGAAAGATGTCTTATTGCCTCAACCGGCTTTAATAAGTGCGTCGCGCCGTTACGGTGTTCAGTCGCACATAGACGTTTTAGTGATTAAGATTGCGGTTTATTGCGTTATTTTCCAGAAGTTTCGCCACAGCTAGACTCAGGCAGAAAACCCCCCACAGATCCAGGAACTACCTATTACGTGTGTGTTGAGTTTCATCTCCGAAGTCCGGGAACAAGGATGGACTCAGGTGGTTCATCAACCTACCAGGGAAATCATCATCATCATCATCATCATTATCCGCAGCAGCAGCAGCAGCAGTAGCATCATCGTCATCATCATCATCATCCTCATCATCATCCCCATGCACATGACGTCGAATATTTGCAATCATTGATTGACAGACTACTCGATGTAAATGAGGACGGGCTCAAAGTGCAGCAGATCGCCCGTCTAGGAAAGAGAATGGAGGGCAAAAGTCGGCCCATGAGGGTGACATTTGTCGAAGAAGCAAGTACCAAGTTACTATTGTCTCGCATTAATAGGCTGAAGGGTCTGAAGATCCACGTGCGCGCTGACTTAGAACCGGCAGACAGAGAGAAACTCAAGTCTGCCATGATTGAACTAAAGCGGCGCACGGAGGATGGAGAAACAAACCTCCGTATTGTAAATTTTCGAGTAGTTGCCCGGGTTCCTCCACGAATCCGGATCAACAGGTTGCTAATACTTCAGGCGCGCCCAGCGGGTCCTACCGCGGTCTGCGCGTAGCCTTTACTAACGTATGCAGTTTGATGAACAAGCGCGATGTGCTGTACGACTTCGTAAGCTCTCAGCGACCGGACGTATTAGGCCTTGCTGAGACATGGTTAAACTCCGAGGTAAACGCCCAAGAAGTGGAAATCACCGGCTACTCATGCTTCCGCTGTGATAGACCATCAAATGATCGCGGTGGCGTTCTACTTTACATAAAGTCTTCCTTGTGTGGGAGACTAGTGAGCGCCTACCAAAGCGCTGATGGTCTATGTGAGCAGTTATGGTGTTCGATTCACCTCAGACGCGGCGAGTTGCTCGTGGGCGTGGTATATCGCAGTCCACTGAGCCGCAGTTTGGACTGGTTGCCGCATGTCCGCAACCACATGAGTCGTCCGATGTTCCTACTCATGGGCGATTTCAACTTGCCCCGAATACAGTGGCCTGAAGCTGAACTTCTCCCCGGCCACTGTGAAGTCGAGAGGAAGTTTACGGAGTTGCTATTTGAAACTGGGGCCACACAGCACATCAACCAACCGACACGCATTACAGCGCGCGCGACTCCATCATGCTTAGACCTGCTGTTGACTAGCTGTGAGCAGCGTGTACATAACATTAAAGTCTTAGAGCCTCTGGGAGCGAGTGACCACTCAGTGATCATAGGCAGTTTAGAACTACCGCTACCGTATCCTCTCCCACTAGAGTCAGCCTTCAACTATTGGAAGGCGGACTTTAATGGCCTCATTCGAGCAGCGAGCCAGATAGACTGGTCTTTACCACAGGATTCATCTATTGAAACCTGTTGGGCTATCATTAAAGAGGGAGTGAAATCGTTGTGCGCCCGATTTGTGCCCCTCAAATTTCGGAAAGTTGGGCCAGTCAAACCACATTGGTTTGACAAAGAGTACAACAAAATGGCCCGACGGCGACGTAGACTATGGAACAAATTCGTGTTATCTGGCTCTGATGAGGACTACAATGCGTACAAGGTACAACGAAATCGCTGCAACAACGCGAAAACAAGAAAACGCAGAAGCTTCGAAGAGGAGCTTGCAACTGCCTCAAAAACTGCTCCCAAGAGGATCTTCGCATATGTGAAGCGGCGCCTAAGGCCTATAGCCAATATCCCAGTGTTAGAAGGCTCAGAAGGACAGCCCCTAACCTCGAGTACAGATCGTGCGTCAGCATTGGCAACGCACTTCGCCTCCGTATTCGCAAGTGACCAGGTGTCTGTAATGAGTTCGACGAGCACCGCTCCAGCCGAACTTAACAGCCTGGACTGCAATATTGAGGATGTACGCAAGATTCTAGCAAATCTTGACGGGACGAAACCTGCTGGGCCAGATGGTATACACCCACTAATCCTCAAGTCATTATCGACCATAATTGCACCTTCTGTAACTGAACTGTTTAACAGGTCACTATCCACTGGTCTACTACCGGACGACTGGAAATGCTCAGTCGTAAAGCCTATCCCGAAAGGTGGTAACCCAAGCAAAGTGGATAACTACCGGCCGATCTGCCTGACGGCAGTTTTGGCAAAGACGCTCGAGAAGATCGTGAAGAAGAGCCTTCTGCAACTTCTCGAGTCGAAAAACCTGTTAACCTCCGCACAGCATGGTTTCCTGAAAGGTCGTTCGTGCATCACCAACCTACTGTTGACGAGGCACGAATGGTTACAAGCGCTGAACAAAGGCCAATCGGTTGACGTCATTTACATTGACTTCAGTAAGGCTTTTGACAAGGTTAACCATGCAGTGCTCCTTGACAGACTGAGGATGTGCGGTGTTGGTGGTTCGCTGCACAAATGGATCAGCAATTTCCTTATTGATCGGAAGTGGAGAGTCCAGGTGGACAACCATCTAACTGAGTGGTATCCATCGAGCAGCGGCGTGCCCCAAGGCACTGTACTGGGACCGATATTGTTTCTAATCCATATAAACGATGTGCCTCAGCTACTACAATCACATTGTGCTTTGTTCGCAGATGACTTGAAAGTGTGGAGAGTAATCCGCACACTCAATGATTGCGATTTACTTCAGCAGGATCTCGACCGCCTCTCGACATGGTCTGCAGAGGTTAACCTTCCGATCAACCCTGCCAAGTCGCAATTCATGAGGTTGGGTAAGTGTGATCACGGCCGAACGTACACAGTGGCTGGTCAACCGTTGCATCCCGCTCCTTTCGTGCGCGACCTCGGTGTACTCTCACGCTGCGACCTAAAGTCCATTGACAACACGAATAGGCTGTACCAAAACAGCCTTCGTATGCTTTGGGCTCTCAGGCGCAGCTTTAGCACTTGGTCCGAAGAGATTGCTTCTCGCCTCTTCGTCTCGATAATACGACCAATGCTGGAGTACGGCACTCCCGCATACTGTCCCATCACCCGGGGCGAAGTAGAAAAGCTTGAGCGGGTGCAGCATGTAGCCACCAGGCTGATTCCCAACTTACGAGGTATGCCATACGAAGACCGATGTAAGAAACTAGGGTTATACACCCTATCTTATCGTCGGCTGAGGGTTGACCTCATCATGACGCACCGGATATTACATCTGGGTGATTACCCCATGTTGAGACAACTACTTCATCTGCGCACACCAAGCTGCACGCGAGGACACCGGTATAAACTTATCGTCCCGGATTTGAAGCGGGTCGCCCATCAACTCTGTTTCGAACGCAGAGTGGTGAATGTCTGGAACGACCTGCCTCAGCATATAGTAGAAGCGAACACAGTGTCTAAATTCAAGATGCTACTAGACCAACAATTTGCAGAGGCAAAGTACAGAGAGCGAAACGATAAATAAAGAGTTCATGTCCGAAAACGACGAATGATGCAGCTACACAGAGCAACCTCTACTCGCTGCTTCGCACCAGTTCTCAGTTCTCAGTCTCATCATCATCATCATCATCATCATCATCATCATCATCATCATCATCATCATCATCATCATCATCATCATCATCATCATCATCATCATCATCATCATCATCATCATCATCATCATCATCATCATCATCATCATCATCATCATCATCATCATCATCATCATCATCATCATCATCATCATCATCATCATCATCATCATCATCATCATCATCATCATCATCATCATCATCATCATCATCATCATCATCATCATCATCATCATCATCATCATCATCATCATCATCATCATCATCATCATCATCATCATCATCATCATCATCATCATCATCATCATCATCATCATCATCATCATCATCATCATCATCATCATCATCATCATCATCATCATCATCATCATCATCATCATCATCATCATCATCATCATCATCATCATCATCATCATCATCATCATCATCATCATCATCATCATCATCATCATCATCATCATCATCATCATCATCATCATCATCATCATCATCATCATCATCATCATCAGCATCATAATCATTATCATCATCGTCATCATCATCATCATCATCGTCA